GCTCGCGGCCAAGTGGTGCCCGTCGCTGGACTCGTCCTACGACCGCTCCACCCTCCTCTGCGAGGCCATCGCGCGGCGGCTCTTCCCCAGGGGCTCGTCGTCGGAGCTCGGCGACGACCTCCCGGACGCGCACTACGCGTACCGCGCGCGCGAGCACCTCCGCAGAGCGGCCATCGTGCCGCTCCGCGCCGCGCTTAAGCTCCCCGAGGTGTTCATCTCGGCGCGCGCCTGGGAGTCCGTGGTGTACACGCGCGTGGCCTCCGTGGCCATGAAGAACTACAAGGACCTCTTCCTCAAGCACGACGCCGAGCGCTTCAACGCATACCTCGCCGATGTCAAGTCCGGCAAGAAGCGGATCGCCGCGGGCGCGCTGCTCCCGCACCAGATCATCGAGTCCCTCGGCGAGGATGGGGACGACGGCGGACTGGCCGACCTGCAGTGGCAGCGCATGGTCGACGACATGCGCGCCCTCGGCAAGCTCAACAGCTGCGTGGCCGTGTGCGACGTGTCCGGAAGCATGTCCGGCCTGCCCATGGACGTCTGCATCGCGCTTGGCCTCCTCGTGTCCGAGCTCACCGACGACCCGTGGCGCGGCCGCGTGATCACCTTCAGCGAGCAGCCGAACATCCACATGATCAAGGGCGACACCCTCTCCGAAAAGACTGAATTCGTCCGGAACATGGATTGGGGTATGAACACCGACTTCCAGGCAGTGTTCGACAAGATCCTGGAGGTGGCTGTGGGCGCCGGCCTGCCGGCGGAGAAGATGGTGCAGCGAGTGTTCGTGTTCAGCGACATGGAGTTCGACCAGGCGTCGGCGAACCCGTGGGAGACAGACTACGAGGCGATCGTGAGGAAGTTCTCGGAAGCTGGCTACGGCGCCGCCGTGCCGGAGATAGTGTTCTGGAACCTGAGGGACTCCAAGGCCGTGCCGGTGATGTCCGGACAGAAGGGGGTGGCGCTCGTCAGCGGGTTCTCCAAGAATTTGCTCAAGCTGTTCCTCGATGGCGGCGGCACGTTCACCCCGAGGGTCGTCATGGAGAAGGCTATCGCCGGCCCGGAGTATGATCAGTTGGCCGTGTTCGATTGATGCGCGTAGTCTCGGTGATGGCGAGCTGAATGACAGTTCGGCATCCAGCATTTCTAACTTAGTTTTTTTAGAACTTCTGAACAAAAGAACTTTTTCGGCAATGCTTGTTGTGTTGTGTATATGATATTCCAACAAGGAACTTGATCTTCGGCCCCGACTTCTCCTCGACTTGCGTCGATTGTTTCGGCATTGCTCTAGTTGCACGAGACCAAACTGTGGTTGTGCCACACCTCTGCGGATGAAGCCTTACAATGCCAATGGTACGATTCTTTTTACAAAAAAAAAAAATGAAACTCCATGGGCACTAGCACCCACGGTTTTATTGATATAGAAGAAGCATCCCTCATGAGAATTCCAGAAATTCGTCCCCGACGTGGATCGAACTCTGGTCGTTGGGTTTACAATCATGCGCCCCCAACCACTGGGCTATGCCCACGTCCTCCTGGATCCCCACAAGGCAATACTAGAGTTTGGGAGGACCCCTGGATCCCCTCGAACTTGGGCTTTAAACCCCTTTTACGTCTTTAGAACTCGACTGTGAATATGGTTGAGGACTTAATCAACCCGAATAATGGAGATTTGGATAGAGAGGTTTTACAGAATAATTTTCTTCCTATTGATGTGGCCGCTGTGCAAATGCTTCCTTTGGGAAGGATGGAAGAAGATAACTCGGCATGGCATTTAGAGATAAGTGGAAATAGCTCCAAACATCAACACGAAATTAAGCATTTACAGTTTGACGGAACTACGAACCGATTGTCTGAATGAAATCATAACATCAAGATAGAAGGAGATTAAAAAGGAGCTTACTAAAGATAGAAGAAGATAGCACGTATATAGCTGGTATCCGTCCAACCTCCTCTTGTGCAACAGGGTCTATCATGTACGCGCGATGTGCCTCATCTTAGTCTGACTCGCTGGAAACTGCCGATTTAAGCGCTCTCAATAGGCCTGGCTGAGAGGTGCTTTGATGTTCATATGATGTGGGCTAAACAATAAACACGGGTAAACAAACAACCAATTTTCTGCGGACCTGATTGGCCTATATAAACATGCCCAAAGATATCGCATGGGCTGGATGCAACGACAGTGGTGTTGTCCATGTAATTTTTTATTCCTTTTTTTATCGCATCTAGTATTTCTTGATTAACACAAAATCATATATATTCAAATCAGTGAGAACAGAGGTACATTCGTGGTTTCAGGTGTTTTCATGTAGACTATTTTTTGTGTCTCTCAGTTTTGATAGTAAATTGCATCAGACAAATAAATTCATGTGGTTTAGTTATGACCCCTATATTTTTTCTTTTTAATTTTGTTTTGAGTGTTTTTGTGTCTTTCTATACATTTTTAACGTGTTTTTGTTTCTAAATACTATTAGCAATGCTTTTTGTTCTTTTTAGTTTTTCTTTCTTTTCTCTATTTTTTAATCTGTTTCATCTTTTGAATTTTTCTTTTTGTCTGTTTTTATTTCTTTCTTTCTCTTTAATTTTGTCCACTATTATTTTCTTTTTTCTCAAAGTTTTGAATAAGATATTTTTAATATTTTTGTAAAATTTGGAAATATATTTTTAAGATTGTGAACACCTTATCAATTCATGCATATTTTTTAAAGAAACAATGTCTCATCTATGCTTGTCGCCGTTTGGTTAAATTTTCGTAAATTTTTATGCAAGCACTCGATTCTCACCTCGCTATTTATGTTTTGTCACACATCCTTTTTGTTGGCATGTTTGGCTTCATTTTTATCGATCCATTATTGCGGCATGCTGGCAGCCCGTTTTGTTGCGTTGTTTTTAGATGTAATAGATTTGCTATTTCACATCTACAGGTAAAATAGTTACCGCACATTTAACTTTCTAACCGCGCGATTTAGACATCAAGATCCGCATTTTTTGGTTTTTTTTATCGTTTGGTGTTGTCCATGTACATGCCGCTCGCGGAGAAGGGCCCGTCGTGGTGTTTTGGCCGTTATTTCTTTTTTCACACCCCTCATGCGTTGCCTCAGTGTAGGCTGTGGCCACAAGTGATACTTTTTTTTTTGTTTCTTTGTTCTTTTTCTTCTTTTTTCATTTTTCTTTGTTTCAAATTTTTAATGTTGGCTGGCTCGCTAGCTGGCCTGCCGTCGTGACCCATGGACACCACCGTCCGGCTTTTGGACGGGATAGTAGCCGAGCGCGCACGCGCAGCCAGCTCGCCTGTGCGAATCAACCCTACAGCGAGCAAATGACGCTAACAAACCGATCCAGCTTCATCTAGCGCGCACAGAGCAGTGCACGAAACGAAGCACATGGGTGCGACAAAAACCACCACAGGAAAGTGGGCCCACACGTCAAACATTGGCAGGAGGCGCGCGCGAAGCGAACAGCGTGGAGGGCATCCTTTATAGGAGCAATTGTGCATTCTTTCCTATACGACTAAGTAAATGCAAAAAAAAATTGTCCTGAGAGTTCGTTCAGTTCAATATTTCAACTCAAAATCGTAAAGTTCTTTATTATTGTATTGTACTCTTCGTGAGAATATTAGGTGATACCATTCTTAAATGCTCCCATGATACCTTCAAAAAATACGAAAAATTTGTGTGGAAGTTCATAAGATATGTGTCTACAACCCCTGAAAAAAAATCAGATTCAAATTTGAGATACACATTGAGAAACAAAAAAAGACAAATCTAGTATGAATAGTGACACAAAAAGAAAAGTAAAATTGACACTATTTACGTCAGGATTTGTCTTTTTTGTTTGGCAATGTGCATTTCAAATTTGGGCCTGAAATTTTAGGGGTTGCAGACACATTCCTTGTGAACATTCATACTTTTTTCCCAGAATTTCTGGAAAATATTTAAAATTAATATTTTTTTCAAATGGGAGCATGGGATCATGTGGAAGTTGGTATCACTGGTATTCTACACTTGTACAGATCACATACATGATACATCCATCAAGTCTGCACATTAGTGATCCATTAATGCTCGCCGTACATAGCATCAAATATACAAATAATGGCTCACCGGAAAGAACAATATAAACAAATGACTCGAGGACCTTAAAACTAGCACTACTCCACCTTTTTACATAAGCAAAATAATGCAGAGAACCTCAACCCTGAACAGCAGGCTGTAGGCTTACAGCGATGGCTGTACTGTACATGCCCTAAGAATCATCCATCTGAAATTTGGGAGAGGAAAAAGTTCAGACCATGCAGTAGTATTGCGTCTGAAATACAGTATATCTGTTGACCGGTGCATGTTCTGTCTGTAGCCTTCTAGAAAAATCACAAAACGTGCAAGCCATGCTCAAACATCAATTTTCCGCGCAAAAGAAGAAAAAAAACTCAAACAGCAATTTGCTGCAAGAAAGTGACACCACCATTGACCACCAAGTAACTTGGTCCAAGTTATAATTCATGCTAAAATGTATTTGTTCGCACAAGAAGTTACGCTTCTTAACCTTCCTTGGCTAAATCAGCTTTGAGCCGGCCTCCTTTTGTTGCAAGGCACCATTTCGTACAATAAACATATATTGCTTCGCAAGTTCTCTTACTCTTGGATTATATTAAAATGAAACTTGGTAGAGATCTTCACTCGTGAACTTGGCAAACATTACAAGTCTTGCTTACCTGTACGGACAACTACTCTATTGTTGTTCTTGCTTTCAGATAAAGGGAACAGATATTATGGAAGATGGCAACAGAGCTGGAGCTATTATCCATCCACCATAGGCCCCCCATGTTTGTTTAACGAATGTGACACACAATTGAAACGAGACACCAAAGTTTGCACAGATCATTAAAATGGCGCTTTAAACGTGTGATGGAGACGCAACCATGATCAGGAAACTCAACGAGAAATAGAAAAGCCGCATATAACAGTAAATAGCTTTTCAAACTCAACCTTGTTTCTCTTGCACGCTCATGTATGTGTGACTAGTAATGGCCGTCTGGCTTCGTCTCTCGATCCTTTTCTACTGTAGTAGGCATATAACAGCAACTGTATGACACCTAGGATTGTGCCGATGCCATTGGGAACCTGTAATTGGCAAACCAACAAGAAAGAAGGGCCAAACAGACGTGATGTTAGGCATCGCTCCAAGCAAAATCCCTGATCAGCAATAGAAAACTATATCTTACGTATATGAAGAAGTCATCCAGAAGCGCCCCGTATGCAAAAAACGACATGCTCATCAGGGACATCGATAGCGACAAATAAAATGGCATGTACTCCACGCTCTTGGTCCTGATCACCAAATTCTGTCAAACACAAGAGGAAAGTTCATTTACAGGACTATACATTTTGAATAACAAACATGGTCAGATGAGATCAACAACGCCAACCCCATCAAACCTACGAAGGACCAATTATACACCAGAAGATGTGGTTATGGAATACAGGTTTGAGTTATTAGTTATAAAGCAGGAAGTATTTCAGGACTCACAATGATGGACAGAGGGGATGCGAACATGAATATGAGGGACGCCACGCTGAGATAGCCGACGAATGTTCGCCGAGGCTTGTGATCAAACAGCGCCATACTGACATACACAATCAGCCCGAACACGCAGAACACCCCTGCCAGCAGCACGGACACCTTGAGCTGCAGCAAGAAACCACACCAGTCAAACTTAGAGATGCAGGCAAGGCAGCAAAGTACAAGCGGTGGGTAGGGCACCCACTCTTTTCTTGGCGTCGGCGTAGGCGATGAAGACGGCGGTGTATGCAAGCTGGAAGGCGGCGCCGATGGTGTTGACGGTGGCGACCAGGACGACGCCGTAGGAGACGAAGGGGAGGGCGTACCACATGCAGACGAGGCAGTTGAGGAGTGAGTAGATGTAGGGCGTGGCCGAGAACTGCTCCGTCGACCCATTCCGGACGATCCTCCTGAATGTCGGCCTGAGATCAGCAGAGATCAATCAGATCACCAGCAGCAGCAATTCGAGTCGAGCTAAGAAGAAATGAAATCGGGTTGAAATGGAAAGGGGGGCGGGGGCTTACAGCGGGGAGATGAAGAGCACGAAGGCAAAGATGTTCCCTGGAAGAAGATCGAGACGGCGGTCAAGAACTGGCCAAACCAAATCTGGCCGTCTTCTCCACGACGGCAGAGGTCTAAGAAGCAGAGCAAAGGGAATGGTGGTGGCGCTGACCTGCGATTCCTGCGCCGTAGCAGCAGAGGTCGTGGTAGGAGGAGGGTCCGGGCAAGCCCAGGGAAGCCATCAATGCAAGGAAGAGAGAGGATCCCGATCCCAGCTGCTCCCGGCTCCCTCCGATCCCCGCTCGCTCCCCCGGCAGATGATTCCCTTTTTCTTTTTTTGACGTGTCCAGCAGACGCTTGAGCGTGGGTTCTTTCTTTTCAGAGCAAGGGCAGGAACAGCAGCTCGCCTGGCTCCACCACCAGGGGGAAAAGAGCTGGCCCGCTTCCTCCTCCTCCCCCTTCTCCTCCTCTTTATCAGGGCTCCGCCCCTACAATCGAATCAATTCATCAAAAGAAAAAATAAGCACGTGGAATGGAAGGTGGATATCCTGGGATTTTATTCCTCGAGAAAAGTCGGTCGGGGATGTTGATGGCCGAGCCGGTCTGATCCATAGCCATGGCACGCACGACGGTGGACACGGGCGGCGCGGCCACACCCCACACGCCACGCGCGCGCGTGGACACCGTGGACCTCGACGCAGCACAGCTATTTTTCATTGTTTTCGAGACAGTTTTTTTTTTGCGAGTAATGTTTTCGAGACAGTTCACTATTCATGCCATTTTTTTTCTGCGGAAGGGGGAGAGTGCCTCTTCTTTTTCCTAACTATGCCAAATACCCCTGCATTGCTATGGAATGAAAATAACATTTGAAGAGTGATGGCGTGTGACCGATTGTCCTCGGCTGCGGTGGCACTGACTATGTTGTGACAACGTTGATGACTAACTATTCAGGGTGCATGTAAAACGGTAAATTATGGTTTGTTTTGAAAACAATCTCTGCCATTAAAAAATATGGTTGGCAAAAAATTCCTACTAGCAGTAATTATTTAGAGGGATAACTACCTGCTTGACTAATTTATGGGCGTCCAGCTAAGCATGACCCCACAGATTTCCTTTCCTTTGTCTTAAGCAGATTTCCATTGTTTCATTGCATTGTCTTAGACTGGTCATAGTGGGGAGTAACTTACACTAATGTCATGCATATGACACTAGTCTAAGTTACTATCTTTATAGTGCAAAGTAACATAATAGTAGTGTCATAGACAACTTTATTTATTAGCTTGTAGACTCATTTTGTATTGGGAAGCGCTATGTTACAGTAACATATTATGTTACTACTTCTCATTAACTACTTGCCACATAAGTAAAAAAATTGGAGTGCGTTATGTTATTAGCTAAGTTAGTCCCACTATGACTAGCCTTATAGTGAATGGGGTCCACGGGCATACCTTGTGATCTAGTGAGAAAACACTACCCATATGCACATGAGACAAACACAATCATATCACTCAATCAATCAAGCAAGGGCATACACAATCGGTCTAGAACTATCGTTACAAAGTGCTTGGACTATACTATTTACATGGGGGACTACTACTGATATGGTGGTCGACTAGAAATATTGAACGGTCGAAGACTCCATGATATCTGCTCCAGCTTCATCAACATAGTCATCATCACTATCGTCAAGGTGCGAGTCGGTGTCGTCGATGATGATGTAGTCTTCAGAACGAATCTCCTTGGGTTCGTCGTCTTCTCCTCCTGGCGCGGGGTCTCCCATGAATACTTCTAGCTTCCTTTCCAGGTCATCATTCTTCTCCACTAATACGACGATTTCCTCCTCATAATCTTCACGTGTAGCTTTGAGTTCTTCTTCAAGCTCCGCAATCCTTGCCATTGCCTTCTTCAGATCTATCATGCCTGCGCACATCTGATTCTTCTGGCGACGAATGTGCTGGTTTAACTCTTGGATGAAAGCGGCAATTGACCTATTCTTCCTGGTGCTGATCATCTCCCATTGCTCGTCTCGTCGCCCACAAATCTGGTAGATAGTATCCTTGAGATCCTTGTGGTAAACTTCTGCAATGCTTCCCATGGTGATGTGAGCTGACATACTCTTTCCTAGACTCCAGGTTGGTGCATCGAAAGAAAACTCTATGGGCTTGGTGACTGGCGTGAATGTCCTTACTGGAACTTGAACTTGAATCATCCAGCGCTCCTCTTCTGGTAAAGTGGCATTGTAGGTCCCGGTGAAGCTTGGTATTCCAATGTTCAGGTAACTAGTAACTTCCTTCAAGTGGCGTCCAAAAGGGGTGTCTTCATCCGGTTGCATGAACTTTATCCTTGCATCCGTCATCCTAAAGAGTAGAAAAAAGGAGAGGAGTTATAAATGAGAAGAGAGTAGTGATCTAGGGCTTTAGCTTAGTGGTCGTGTCCTACAGTCAGCGTGTGCTCAGATATCATCTTTGTAGCGACCAGACCTCAAACAGTCTGATCTCTGTGCATAAGTGTCATCCCTGGATCGGTAATGCTGACACACACAGTACTCAGAGGATTTATAACAGAGTAGTAATCACACACTTATTACATCGAATGTCTCAAAAGAGAACTTATTACAATAAATATGGCTTAAGGCCATCTAATACGATAACAACGGAAGGCTTGAAAGATAAAGTGAGTCCATCAACTCCAACGACATCACTGAGTGAAAGACCATGACCTAAGGCTCCTTACTCGTCGTCTGAAAAGTCTGCAACATGATACGTTGCAGCCCGAAAATGGGTCAGCACATGGAATATGCTGGCAATGTAACACCAAAAGGATAATGAACATAATAATGCTATCACTATATGCATATATGGCTGGTGGAGGCTGTAGGGTTAATATGTTTTGCGAAAAGCCAATTTTCCCTACTGCAAGGAATAAATTTTATTTAACTATCATGGTGGTTGTTAAACATTTAGAAGGTTCACCCAACTCAATCCCAATTAAGCATCATCATTAAACCCAATCAAATTATATTAAGAGTGATGAGATCCACATGATAATTCAAGAACCAAATACTCAAGATGTCCATAACCGGGGACACGACTAACCATGATTGGTTTGTACACTCTGCAGAGGTTTGCACACTTTTCCCCACAAGACTCGATCTCCTCCGTTGGATTTCTCGCACTACATAATGTTTGAGAAACGGATGACCGATACACAATCTTTCCGAAGAGGTCCCCTTAACCGATAGATAGGCCGGTACACCTACAATCCCCTACATCTGCTAGCCCATCATGGAAAGGTTTCCCACAACTTACTCAACTATGCCAGAGCCCATAATGGCATGTGGCTGCACACGGAAGTTTCCAGTATGAATAATCTTATGATCCCTTTGAGCCTAGGTGGCAGTCCATAGGAGAATCACACGGTATCCCGAGATTTCCAAAAATACAGGCAATCACTGGAATACCCAGGTGCCTCAATCCACCCAGATGTGTATTAAAGTTGCCACCTTAAGTTAACCATTAAGTTAACAATCTCACATCTGTCATGAATACACTCAAACTCAATCCACGTCTACGAGCATAGCATAGCAATATAAGCATAACGTAGAAGTAACTCCCAGGGTTTGATAATAAACAGGTGAATAGGTACTACCTCATCTACTTCCCAATCCCACAATTTAAATCAGATCCTAACCATGCAATTGTTTGAGGATTGATCTAATGCAATAAAACTGGGTAGTAAGAGGTATGATCAAAGTGTTACTTGCCTTGCTGATGATCTGCGATACCTAGAGACTCGTAGTAGCACGCTTCGCACTCCGGGTACTCTATCGCAAACAAACAAACATACAATAAGCAATCAAGCAAAAGCACGAGTAAAACTCAAATAAGAGATCTAACCAGAAAGTTCAACTTAAGAACTCTGGTTTGTAAAAAGAATCAAATCAAACGAAGCAGCAAAACTCAAACGGCGAAAGAAACAAGCTTTGATTACTAATCTGGACTAAAGTCAAATTTTACAGTAGCAAAAACTTGTTTAAGTTGGTTAAACGGAAAGAGGGTTTCGAGACGAAACTCTAGCGCTTGAATCGCCTGATTCTGATAAACGAGCGAAAAGTTATACTAGAACGAAAATCGGATCAGAAAACGCGATCGAAAATAATCGCGGAAAATCTGAGAAAAAGAAAAACTGACGAGCAGGCTAACGGACGAACGTTCGCTGTCTGCGGCTAAACGGTGAAAACCGTTCGTAAAAATGAACGTATGGACGAACGTCCGCTAAATAACTAAACCAAACCGATGTAAAAAAACGAAAACTAGGGTTTACGAAATAAAACCGATCGGTTTTTAAAAAAACCGGCGGCTACCTCGAACTCCAGCGGGCGGCGGCGCGGCGGCTCCGGTGACGGCGGTTGGCGGCGACAGGCGGCGGGACGGGGCGGGGTGGCAGCGCAG